AAATTTTTCCCCATGTAGAATGATAACTCTTAAGTACTAGTTAAATTTTGCCCCCAAACACCTATTGATAACCAAGTGTTAAGACTTTGCTTATTACATCATTCAGTGGAAAGAGACACAAATTTTTCAGGGTATGAGTATTGAGAAAAGCTACCAAATATGTCCACTACTGAGTACTATAGGATGTAATAAATAATCATACAGATCCAAAATACAAATAATAAAATTAAACCCAAAGGAGTGATTTCCCCAACTAGCTATTAAAAGTGAGGATGGTATTTCTGCATAGATTTTTTTTTTCAAAAAATGAACATTTTTTCAAAAATATTTTCTAGAAAGTCACATTTTTTTTTCTTGGAAAAAATCAGCACCAATTTGTAGTCCCCAAAGAAGTACAGGAATTCCTCAAAAAACTAGGTGTAGAACCATAATTTGAACCAGCTCTACCACTCCTCAGTATGTATCCAAAGATTTTCAAATCAGCATACTACAGTGATGCTAACATATCAATGTTTATAGCTGAACAATTCACAAAGCTAAGCTATGGTTCCAACCTAGGTGCCCTTCAATAAATGAATGAATATAGTATGTGTATATGTGTGTGTGTGTATGATTTTTATGACATTTGCCAGTAAATGGATGGATCTGGAGATTACCATGCAAACTGAAATAAGATAATCCCTAAAAAAAACAAAGGTTGAATGTTTTCACTGATATGTGGAAGCTAACCCACAATAAGGGTAAGGAGAGGAAGAACAGAAGTTCAATATTTTAAGAAAGTGGAATGAGGTGAAGGGAGAGGGGAATAGGAAAGACAGTGGAATTAATCTGACAAAATTTTCCTATGTACATATATAAATACATTACAGTGAATCTCACCATTGTGTACACCTATAAGAATGGGGTCCTGTTAAAATAAGATATATGCTATGCTTGTACAATCATATTAAAATGGAATCTACTTTCACGTATAACTAAAAGAACCAATAAAAAAGAAAACTCAGAAAAAAACTTGGGCTACATATCCTTAGTGTACACTTTTTTCTAGAAAATCTCAAATTCTATTTTTGAAGAATGGTGAAAAAGTAAAAAAAAAAAAATAAAGAAGAAGGAATGGTATAAAATATACAAATGTGTCCTGTACTTTTCCAGGTACTGAATCTAAAATGAAGCCATGCAAATAATGTTTTTTTTTTTTTCTCTTATATTTTAGTTGAGGAGACAAGCAATGAAGTGGTAACCGTGGAATGGAAAAGTTCCAAAGGTCAAGTGGAAGGTCACAGATGATGATGGTGGCAGACTGTTTCATATAATGCAGGCAAGGAAAACTCTGGCTTCAGGCAAGTATGCAACCAGGATGATCAGTTAATGGACTACTTCAAGGTTCCAAGCAAGAGTTGTGTTAGGGCAGTAGTAGAATTCATGAGAAATCATTAGATTCAGCATATATTTTGAAGGTAACATCTGTAGAATTGGCTAACATATTGTCAATGACATTAAGCAGAGAAAAGGATCAAGTCTATCTTAATGATAATTATAATTTCTTCCATGCACATTTAACATAAAAATAACTAAAGATATTGTATGTGCCTGGGATGTGCAGGTGTGTATATGAATATAAAAAAGGAAAGAAATTCATATAAGCTATTTCCCACATCATAATAATTTAAGTGCTAACTTCCCACAAATATGCCTTTTTACACTTGACCTTTTACTCTGATCTAAAGTCTCTAGTTTCATATAAAGCTAAGATTTATATAACAAAATCATTAACAATGTAATATAGGTTCTAGTACAGTGTAGATTTGCAGAAATACATATGAAAATGTACAAAAATATTCCAAAGTCATAAGTATATATTAAAACTCTAATAAAGATAATGGTTTATTTATAAACTGTGGTCTTCATAACTCTTATTACAAATTACAAAAATAAGTTTACTATCAATTGAGACTATAAGTATTTCCTGTGACATATATTCATATATAGTAACTATCATTTTAGTCCATGGTAGGCCTTTTTTTCTCTTGGAAGAGAAATCTTTTGGAAACCCCTAGCAAGAAAAGACACTAGGTGATCAACTATTTCAATATTATTCTTGAAGTTTTCAAAGTGTTTTTTTTTTCATACTACTTTATTTTTGCTAGTTATGCAAGCAAAGATTTTTACCTTTAAAAGTTTGGTTATATAAGTAATAGACTCATGGAGTCTGAAAGAAGGCAAAGTATATATATTTCATACAAAGTGTGATGTTGAAATGTCACTGTGGATTCAATGAGGTTACCACAAAGGAAGTGGTAAAGGTATTCTTCTCCTTGTCCTTCTAAAGCATTCGTCTTGTGTCCTGTGTTGATGGAGACCGGTTACCCAGGTATCAACAACACACCCTCACATCCACCCAGTAGTTATTAGGTTAAAGACACAGGAGCCACAGAGTGTAGAGTTAAAACAAGTAGACAGGTGTAGTGAGTATTTACTGGAGCATGATTGTTGCAGGAATAATTAAAGAGTATTTCAAAATTAGAGTGGAGTTTATTAATTTAAAGCAGAATATAGGGTTTTTTAATCCTAGAAAGAAGACACTAGATAATTAAAGGAAAAACACATATATATGTTTGTATTATCCCAGTGCCTAGAACCTCAGTATTTTGCTGGAGGAGCCCCCAGAGTAGCTTAATAGTGATATAAATCTGCAGTTGTCCACAGTAGAGGACCTTGATAACAGGTAGCCTGCTGCTCCTGTTTACCAGCAAAAGAGAAAAAAAAATCCTTAATTTTAGAATAAAAGAAATGGCCTGTATGATTCAGGGAATCAGAATTTTATTTACAAATGGATGAGGGCCCAAGAGTCTCGAAACCTACAGATTGGTCAAAGCCAACTACAGGAGAGTGAGCTACAGTGCAGAATGTATAGTTTCTAGGAAACAGATGCAGGAAAAATGAATATGAAAGACTGTCTTATAAAATAAGGACAGTTACTGGTGATTCTTAGGGCATTCCAGACATAATATAGGAATCCAATCACTAGACATTTAATGAAATGAAAGATAGGTAATTGGGCTGGGGATGTGGCTCAAGAGGTAGCGCGCTCGCCTGGCATGCATGCAGCCCGGATTCAATCATCAGCACCACATACAAACAAAGATGTTGTTGTGTCTGCCAAAAAACTAAAAAATAAATATTAAAAAATTCTCTCTCTCTCTCTCTCAAAAAAAAAAAAAAAAAAAGGTAACTCAGTAATTTTTGAATTGGAATAATGCAAAGAACCCAGCCAATACAAATTGAAGTAAAAGAGTCTGAGTAGAAAATAATATTAATAAACTGATATTAAAGGATAACTTCCATCAGGCCCTTCTCATTGCCCACAGATAATAAGAGTTTTCATTCTAGAGTCAGAAGTAGGGTTGAATCTAAAAGCTTAGCTAGGCCTCATTGTCAAAGCTTAAAGAGACACAGGAGCAAGAAGTGAGCCACATTTTGAGCGTTTTCATCCAGTAATAATCACATTTTAAAATATCATTCTTTATTTTGCAACAATTTCTAATGTACCTTAAAATTTTGCTTCTTTATTCTAGCTGCCCTGATATTTTCTTCATTTCAGAAATCTAGAAGTCTTACATTTTTGTCACTTACCACAAAGACATGTATGTTTGAAACTCATTTGTTCTACTTCCATTTTCATTTCCTCATCTAAAATTCTTTCTCCTTTTTGTAAACAATTTCTTTTTGCATATTTACATGTTGATGGAATTTTTCTCAGAGTCCACTCAATTTAAGAGTTTATATGTTTAAAGGTCCAACTCATTACAAATCAGTATCTGACCAGGCAATCGACAGAGAAGACAATAAAATAAAATGTTCACAGCCATGTTTGTTATTGTAAATTGTGCTCACCTGATAATGCTCAGTGGGATTGTTTCACAGCTACTACTGTTTTTTTTTTTTTAAGTAGTAGCCTAATTATGGTCAATGCATATGTAATTAATAACTATATTTTAAGTAAAAATATAAATTTTTAAGAGTTATATTTTCACAGCATATTTTTAAAGGGATTCAAATATTTGTCAATTTGTCAGCTCAGCATATTTTACTATATATCTTTATGCCACACTCTTGCATATTTAAATATATATATTTGTATGTGTGTCACTCAATATATTTTTTTAAATATTTATTTTTTAGTTGTAGTTGGACACAATACTTTAATTTTATTTACTTATTTTTATGTGGTGCTGAGGATTGAACCTAGGGCCTCGCACATTCTAGGTGAGCACTCTACCACTGAGCCAAAACCTCAGCCCCTCACTCAATAATTTTTATAAACAACTTAAACAAGTCAAAACCCATACAGATATAACAACTGAAAATTAAAAAATACTAGTTATGATGTAATATAATTACTTTTCTACTGTTATTTTTTTCAGCTAATAAAAAGTAAACCATAATTCATCCAATATTTAATAAACACCAATGAAGACCAAACAGACATGTTCAATTATGTGAGAAATCTCAAAAGCTAAAATATGCTAACATACACAAATACTGCAAATAATGAATAAGAAGCAATTTCTCTTGGATATCAAATATAAACCTGATAATGACTATATCCTTAGAATCCGCTAAATAAAAAAGTAAAAATAGCTTACATCTATCTCATCACTGCAGAGCAATGTTCATAATCAATAAATGAACTTATACAAAACTAATGAATACAAATATGAGTGATTAAGAAACCATTGTTATGTTAGTTTTAAATTTAATAAAATGGTTACTTGCTTTCTGTCTCCCCAAGCTGTTGTGAATCATTGCTACAATGAGATCACCTCATTGAATATTAAAATGAGTACAGTCATTTTAATATTCTATCCAAGGTAATTATAGGTTAGGATACAATACACAAAATAATATTTTAGATAAATGTTTGAGTTCTCAGTAATACTTAATATTAAATTCCAACTTTTCATCATTTTTTTATTCTTAAGTAAAATGAGGAAGCTCACCTTATTACAAAATCATGACTGTCAATCTCCTTTCCACATTCACTGTCTAGCAGAATGCCAGAATTTCCAACAACTGCACAAGTCTTAAACCTGCGGTTTTTCATTGGCGAAACTTCAGGTAGGAGGCTATGTAGATCGTGAGAAATATTTAATGTCCGGCGCCTGTCAAGCACATAGTGAATGACATCACCAGGCTTAAAACTGCTCTTGACTACTGAGACATCTCGTTCAGCATCTAAGAAACGAAGAATATTCTTCCTGCATGTGAAATACAAGCAAGATTTAACATTAATGACAACATATCCAAGAACTGGTTATATCATTTGCAAAGTGACATGTGAAAATGTCAACAGGTATACTACTAACCTTAAATTATTAGTGGTAATCAAACCAACCAATTAAGTAGATTTTATAGGAAGTGGAGTACATTTCTTAAAATCCTTCATGCAGAAATTTACAATGGTTTTGTAAAGATGTATAGTATATACACCCATTTGTGGAGCAAAAAAATACTTCATTCATCAAAATATGCTAAAAAAAACCAAACTATTAAATACAGCTGTCACTTGATTTTACAAAATGAAATATTCTACTAGTTTTTTCTAAATAGTCATTTATTTTGTTTAATGTTGTTTGGCTGTGAAGAATAGAAATAACTTGAATGTACTTTTATTGCGATCATAGATTATACTTAAGAAGAATAAACTTTACAGTAAACTTATGTAGTTATCCAAGACATTTGTATTTTATAATATTTGAAGAAAAATAGCACTAAATTTATAGGAAAAATTTCTTCTAAGCTTAGGACCCCAGGAAGTAAAATGGGTAAAGGAGAAGATGAATTGACATAGCACTGGATTATATATGGCAGAGGTAGCTTATTTTTCCTCCTATCTGTCTTTTAGTATTGAACCTTCAAACTTTCACATGTCATGGATGGTCATCCAGAACATCTCCAAGTTTTTAATTCCATGTACAGCTTGGTTTGGTCATAAGAGTTAAGTTTCCTAAAAGGGGGATATGAGTGGATCATGGACATGATTATATAAGAGAGAAAGAAACTTCCCTTCCAATTTGTTTGGCCACTGTATTAGGTTTCCTCATCTAATACCTAATCTATAAATTAGTCACAATGTGAGCTGTTATACAAACATAAATTATATGCATATGCTAAATACTTAGAAGATAGAAAATGAAAAAATGCATGCAGATCACTTCCTAGAAATTGGAAAACCTTGGCATGAGCAGACAGTGCATCATCTGCCTGTCATATTTGAAAGTTGTGACTTATATCTAATAAATTTGTTGTCCTTGGAAAACTGATTAAAAAGAGTGTATTTGTTGCACTGTGCTGGTTTCTCCTTTTAGAAAAACATTAAAAGAGATGAAGTCAGGCTAAGTCATAGCTAAGTTGGAAGCTGAGATGAAAGGGAATGTATCTGGGTGTGTATTCTGAAATATATGAGAGTCTAGTAATTTGGACCTCCCAAATGTTTCTGTATCCCAATTAGTGAGAGATGTGACTATAAATTGTAGACATCTCAGCAACACAAAGGGTATTGCCTTTCCATGTAAGACTATAGACTCAAATGAAGTAAGGATGGCTATCATTAAATTGAGGAAAAGGAGAGAGAGTTCAGAAGAATTAGAGGAGAGTAAAAGCATAAGAACCAGGCTCAGCAGATATTTAGAGTTATTTATACCTGAAACTAACTAGAAGAAATCACTATAGGACTCTAGTAAATGTTTTAGAATATTCTATTGTCAAAAAAAAATTATGAACCTGGTCTTCAATAATTTGACATTATTTGATCCATGGACTACAAAGCATATACTAACAAGAAAGTATCAGAAAATTTCACTCCTAGGTTGCATATTGGAGAGTATTATAAACTTGCATTTTCAAAGTGATAAAAAAAATATGTTAACAACTAGCACCTAACACCAAAAGTGAAATCACAAAGAAGCTTTTATACATACTTATTAACTAACATTTATTTGTCTTTTTGGAAAAGTAAGTAAATACTTTGACACCTGGATTTCAACAAAAATGTTCTCATTTCCTGTGAAAAAGACAGGGCAGCCTCTAAAATAAAGACTGCACGGATGTGGGGAAATCATCTAACTAGGTGATGCTATCATTTTCCTTTGAACATACTTAAGTAGGTTGCTGTAGATGTATTTGAAGATGTAGTCTCACAAGTACTGACATGTTTGCAAGCTTGAGTTGAGTAGGTTAGAAGTTCAGACATGAAATTCTTTATCATGGAAATCCAAAAGGGAAAATTCTTTTTATTGCATCAAAAAAGTTGACACATATCTATCAAGTAGTAGAGAGAGGGACTTTCCAATATTGGTACATTTTCCATGTAATAAAAAAATTAGCAAAAAAAATGTACACATCTTCTAAATTATTAAGTATAATTAAACATCTTTGTTTTATTGGAAACATAAAACATTTTGGAAAAAAATTATACAAAAAAATCAGACTATAAGAGTTGAGCAAAGTTAAAATGTTATTTTAACTCACAATTGGAAGAAAAGAGTGTTTAATGAACTAAAAATATTAAGTACAAATGGTAATATATTATGTATCCTTTCAATTTGTATCATAGGATCATCAGTGTTTTATTCCCTTAATGATAGCAGTAAAAATAGTGAAAGTGCTTTTCAAAGCAATAAAAACTCAATTCATGTAGATTAATCAAAGAATAAACATGTAAAAGTTGCTTACATAAAATTCAAAACAATTTTTTTTTCTGGGTGTAGAATTGAACTTTTTAAACCAAAAAAAAAAAAAAAAAAAAAAGGAAAGGAGACCTTAAATAACTGCAGCTTGTTCTTATACTGACCCACACTTTTATTAACTTTTAATTTTTATTTTAGGGCTTTAAGCAATGCAGAGAAAAAAAATTGATATAGATTCCTGATATAACTGTATGAAAGACTAAAGTAATCACTAGGAGTGAGTAATATCATGACTTAAGTGCTTAATACTCTTCAGAAACAGGAGAGGTTAGTTTATTTCTTCCCTGTAGCAGGCTGAAGGCATTTTTTAGATTATAGATGCAATGGACCATAACAAGCTCTGTGGATTTGCTAAGTCTAGTTGTTGTTCAGACTATAAATATGTGAGGAGAAAAAAGAGAAATAAAAATAAATAAATAAAACTTGTATTTACATATATTAGCTAAATGTCATTGGAAGCATTAAAAGTTCTTGTATTAAGGTAAATGAAGCAGCACTCTAAGTATCACCAAGGAGATATATATGCTTTTGTTCAGACAAAAATGATATGAGTTTATCAGCAGGGTAAACAAAATTACTTCAGAGCAAAAAAAAAGAAAACTCATTTAACATCTGAGCATTAAAGAAACATGAATCAAAAAAAAAAAGAAAAAAAAAAGAAAATGTTTTATAGGCTGTACCAGTACAAGTTTTCCTAATATGTGGTCAAGTTACTATCAGGTATTCAAAGCATGGGTTGTGCTTTCTGTGGAGGCCTTCAAAGAACAACAGGAGATTCCTCTTAGGTCTTCTGTGGTCATTTGGTGATCCTTATGAAACTTTTGAAACCTCTTTAGATAAGTAAACATCTAGATTCAGCAACTGTTTTAATGTTAAAGATAACTGAAAAAAAATCTGAAACCATGTTTCACTTTCAGTGGGACTAAAAATCTTAGTCATCAAAACTATCTTTCGTTAGGCAATGTTGGCTTAAGATGAAGGGCTGGTTTAGACTGTTAAACCGACAGGAATAGATTCTATACTGAAACTTTTCAACTGAATTTTCAACTAGAACTTCCCTTTCAGCATCACCCATCATTGAAATAGCAGCTGCAGAGTTCTGGAGCATTAATTTACTAAACCTTGTTTTCACTTGTGAAATGTTAAATATAGCTAACCTATCACCAGATGCCATTCTTTTTTTTTCTGTAGGTTTCTTGTCAACAACCATGCATGCTCTAGCATCTAAAACTTAGAATAAATGGCATAAAACAATCAGAAAGTATTTTGTGACAAAACTTTCAGATGGAACACATCACAAGTTGAAAATAATATATATTATATATCATAATACATATATCAAGAATCAGTTTTTGTATACTCTATCCAGTGACTCCATGCATACCAGCCCCCCAAATAAAAATCACTGAATGAATTCAATCAGTAATGCAACAGTTCAGTAAAAAGAAAAAAAAAAAAAAACCTTAAAAAAAGGATTAATGGTTTATTATGCCTATAAAAATAATTAGAACACACATTTTTTCAAAGAATTATTTCTACAAGAAAATTTGCCCCAGAGGTCTAAAAGAACATTCTGTAAATAGTTGATACTTCTGAACTTAAGGTCTAGCTGTTATAGGGAAGATATTCCAGTATCAAAAGAAATATTCTAAACAATTATAACCAAATAAAATGCAAAATTGTCCCCAAAACCTTGAAGAAAAGCATTTTCATTTAATTTATACACTAGACCATGTTTTGACACTTGACACAGAATATTGGGTAAATAATATTCTATTATTTCAGCACAAAAAGTGCCATGATATTGTCCATAAATATGCATGCTAATTGTTCATATTTTTATTATCAAAACATAAACTTCCTAGAAATTTGTTTTATAACAAGACTGGTTCAATATGAACCTGTCAGACAAGATAGAATTTGAGTCTTTACTTTGTTACTAATAAGCTTCATGACCTACAATTACCTATACAGATCACTCAATATGAAAACTAGGAAATAGATAGTATAATCCTTTTCCTAAAGCAAACATATGCATGCACTACCAAATTATTTTTGACAGGTAAGCAAATATAAATTTGCTATCATGTTTAGTTAACCCATATGTCTTACTTGTTTGGAAAACTTGATATATATTATACTAAGAATTTAAAATAGTCTATAAATTGTTGAAGTCCTAATCTCTTCTCATAATTAACTCATACATTTCTACATATCTATATTTGGCATTTGTATTTCTTTAGAATTTATTTGATATATAAAAATGAGAAAAATATGAAAAAAGTGAAACCACAAGAATTGGATATAATCAAATAAATCATCTCTCAGTACAAACTTCACAGATGCATTCACAACATCTAATGCAACCCAAAAATATAAATGTAACTCTCATGAATTTGTAAAGTTGCAATAAGTGTATTTCTTAGGTCAGTTTATGTTTAACACCTTTACCTTGAGTATCTTGATAAGAACAAAATCTATAGTGTCATATGAACATTTATAAGATTCACTTTTTATAGAAATTAGGAAGGCATAGCTGAATATACTAATCAAACCAGTGTCAACTCTTTAATTCACTTGCTAGATTTTAATTTACCCAAAATTATTTAGCTTGGCTATATATGTTATTTAAACTATTATAATTTTCTTATTTTACTTAACTTTCTTTCACTATTTTGCTTTACTTGATTTGTATCGTCTAACCTAGTTGGCTTTCTTCTTGCTAAACCATTCAATGAAAGTTCTCTTTCCAGATATGCTTATTCATCAATCATTTTTCTTTCTTTTTATTTAACCATATTTATGGTTTTTTCCAATGTGCCTCCAAGAAATATGAATCTTTTTAATTATATCTGGTCTTATGGTCTTCTGCTACCTAATTTCTCATAATTATCTCACTTCTTGCAGAGTATCTAAATTCAAATAGGAGCTGGCGGTCTGAGGCAGAAAGGAAAACAGTATGCAGGGATCATGAGAGAACAGAGCCAAGGACATAAATATGTCAAGCTGTAGACATCCTGTTCCTCACCACTTCAACAAAACAGCTCTCAGGAAGAATGCGGGTGCTTGGAATCTCTTGATCTTTAATATTGGCTTGAAATTACTTTCCCTACCAAGTGAAAACAAATTGTCCTTAAAAGCCATGATCTCACCAGGGGGCACTAATTAATAAAGTCATTAGTCTCTACAAATCTCCTCATTTTATAGTAGATCAAGAAAATATACAAAGCTCCCCCTAAACTAAAGCAACCAAACTTGTATCACTGGGCAGTACTGTAGATTGATTCCTATTTCCTTTCCAGTCACTTCCAAACCTTTAATACAAAGTAGCCTAACTTTTTCTGCATTTCCCTGTCATCATTTTTTAAACTTCCAGATATCTTTCAAGTATACTTCAACTTACAGTGAGTGTCTTTACTGAAATGCATTCTATGAATGGCATACTCTCAAGATAGTTGTAATAGACTCTCCCCTAACATTGTTTACGGTCCACCTTGTGTGTAGTTAGGAACCAAGAAGTGAGTAGGTAGAAACCTAGGTAGATAAACCAACCCATTTTCTTCTAATGAACAAGCTACACTTACAAAGTATTTGCATTAATATTCAGCCATTGTGTAATAAACATTTGATACTAAAAAAATTCAGTGGTTTTATTATGTAAAGGATGTATTCTTTGGAAATTTGAGAGTTATGGTTTACTGAAATACTCTAATTTAGACTTCATCTAACAGAAATGTAATGAAAAGATAAAGAGAAGTAATATCCATAATTAGGATATTTCTTACTAGTAACAGGATTATAATGGAAGAAAATAATTTAATGGATACATATAGGCCCTAAGCTTGATTTCAAGTCTATTTTGGCTAAAATACCATGTATTATAAAAAATAAAACAAAATCTAGAAGTTTATTTTCTGGTTTTTATCCATTTTATACTCATACAGATGTAACCATTTAAAAGATAAAGTCAGATCTATTTTTAATGATCACCAAAATAGGAGTTGAGTAGTCTCTATTTTCATCTTGATGAGAAAACACAGGACCAAATGAGGTCTAAATAGAGATCAGTATTCTCAAAATATATTTCCATCCTCAGTAATTAAACATATTAAGTACTTGTACCTTATTGACTATTATGTTCCATTAATATAAAGACATATATATTTGAAACTTACATATTTACCTTTAAATTTTTGACTATTATTTTATTTTATGGTTTCAAGTTCTTCAATGAACAGCATTAAATATAGCTGTAACACTCTTTTGTTAAAGTAGTCATACTTACACTATAAATCAAGTGTTCATATTAGTTTGCAAGCCCAACCTATTTGAGAACATGATGTGAAATTGTGCCTTATTAAAGAAACTCACCTTATCTCCAGGACTAAAGAGGAATTGATTTTCCAACCTTCCACAGAGTGCTGGAAGATTGTCGTTCCAGCCTTTCGAATGATTTTATCAGAACTATTCACAAGTGATCGGCTCAAACACAATTCACCATCCCTGAAACAAAACAAAAATGACAGTTTTATGAAAGTTAGAATTCTGTCTAAGACGCACAATACCTAATTTGATTAATCATAGTGGTGAAAAATTAGATATAATTTTTTTCTGCAGTTTAGAAGGAAAGTATAAGCATGATGAAAGATGTTACAAGAATAACTGTGAGAAACAAATGGTTCTCTGTATTAAAAAGTAATTTATAAAGCATTATTGAAATGCTAATTTAAAAAATTGGTATCAAAATATTTTCTCAACAATAAGATAATTTCCTGATAGTAGGTAATGGTTGAAAGACAGGGATTGTAGTAGGAAGAAACCCATCAGTAAGCATAACTTTTGATAATTTCTGCTGTGTCAAAAAAAACAAAAAAAACCTATCTCCTTTCAATCAGTATTGTCAGCTAGTATCACATGGGGCATGGTGTGTTGATTACCTGGAGGTAATGATGATGGCGTGAGACAGCTCTGTTATCAGTTATATCATTTAGACATAGCTAAACAACTCATTTTTCAATATGCTATTCTCTTGGCACTTTATATATGTATCAAATTCAGAGAAAAAGCCAATTATTATGGAACATAAAAAAAGACATAGCCAACTCAGTATGTAAATTTATTTATTTACATGTCACTTTTAAAATTTCTTAGAATCTCAAAAGCATAGTTAAAAAGTAACATGACTATTTGTTCAATCACAAAGTCTAAATTTGTGTTTATTATGTAGGCAATCCTCTCCTACTATCAATGGAAACATTGCTTGTGTAACAGCTGTTGGATGAATTCCATAATTGGATGCTGATACTTTGGTATTTTGGTTTGCATTCTTTTTTAAACATGTAGTTTAAATTTGAAGCATCTCAAAGCATCAGATGAAGCCACTCCTTGTGAAATTTGGAACTCTATAAAAACTAATATTTAAACTCTCCTACTGATGAAAATGATACATTTGCATGCCTGAGCATGGCTAATAGTAATCATTTTACAGAGGTCATTTAGGATGCAAAGAAACAAGAGTGTTTTCTTCACTACTCCGTGGCCCAGAAGTCAGTCTTCATATTGCATGTTTAATGATAATAATTGCATGTAAATGATAATGTGAACATGTACAGAAGTTAACTTTTACATTTTTGAAGATGTGCCTTTAAGAGCATAAGCATAAATTATCATTTTTTTTTTTTGTGGAAGGAGGGATCTTTCCAATCTTCCTCATTAACAATTACCCTGTCAATATCATCTTTCTTAGTTGCCCTCTGCAGAGAATGACTGCTCAAGAAGAATAATGCTACATAGTTTGCTATGATTATAATAATTATTTCTGATACTAACTTATCTTCATAGAAGTACAGATACACATGGTTGCACTTTTTTACATCTATAGGAGACTGTTGCATTGACATGTGGATGCATTTTTATCTGTACAATGATTGTTAGGAGGTACTTACTTACATGGAACCTTTTCAGGACCACCAAAATTTCAGGAGCAATTTTAAAAGTTTAGATTAGTTGTATATGAATAAAATGTTACCATCTTGCTCTGTTTGAATTGTGTATATTTAACTGATGATAGGCCAAACATCAGATGTTAATGACTGGGAAAGAAATTTGAATGGGATAATCTACAAGTAGTAACACTTTTCCCTTATAGTCAACAGAATTCATGTGGGAGATGGCCAAGCTCAGTGTAGTCTGAGATTCTAGGGCAAATTTTTTGTGTATAAAGTTCAATAAGTCCCAAGAGATTTTTCACATGTGGCCTTGGTAGCATTCTGTCTTAGAAAAGACTTCCTTCCTGTGAATGTAAGGCATGAAGGATGTCACCACCCACTGCTTATTTCATATTCCAGATTGGACATGACTTTTGAACAGCTGCACCACAAACATGTTTTGCATAGGACTATCTACCAAAATATTTAATATGTGCTTTTAAAGGCAAAATAGAAAACACATCAGATAAATCACTCATAAAGCAATATATTATACATTATTCTTGCTTATAACTGAGAAAAACCCAGGAAGACAGTCATCTCTAAGATGAAACTAATCATTATTTTGTTACCTAGGATCTAAAATATTTTTTTTTCTCTTTTGATATGAATTTCCAGGCTTCACCACAATTTATCCATTTTCGTTCTGCAGTTCATAACAAATATGATTTAATTCTTTTCTGGAAACTTGATCCCCAAAGCCCTACATTCAAACCTGATGAAACTCTTCATAACTTGGTTTCAAAATGAATATTTTCCCTTAGGGCTAGGCTAAACTTCCTCCCTAATTTAAAGTTTTAAAAGTCATTTAAAAGAAAAGAACTCACATCAAACTAAGGTTGAACACAAACAGCAGGCAATTTGGGGTTTTTATTTATTACATAGGTACCAAACAACTGAAAATAAAGATGAGATGCTCTACTTTAACTTATTGCTTATGGGTTTTGGCAGAATTGCAAATGTAACATGTGAAGTAAGTGCAAATTCTGGAATTCCTAATTTACAAGTGTATATTCTACCCTAGAATAAATTGAAACTACCTTGGCTGACAATAGTAATACTCTGAATACTTGTCTTCACCATCAATTTTATCACGAATTTCACAATATGTTTGATAACTTAGTAATATAACCTCAGTAATAAGCCTATTATAAAGGAAATCTCCAGATAAGAAATATAAGTTAAAGTGTCATTTGTGGTCAACCAGGAAAATAATGTGTAGCAAGTTTTAAGTATAACAATCAAACATCTATATCACATTAAAGTTTGTTACAGTTTTTGTCACATTAAATGAGCATATCATGTATTTTACCTGTGGGAGTCATATTACCCCACAACTTTCAGTACCATTAAGGTGTGGGGGCGGGGGCGGGGTAGAAGCCTGTCAAGACTAGAATACTAATATAACCAATGCCTTTTGACTTAAACTTTATTAAGTTATAACAATCACATAAGTTCTTTGCAATTCTTTGAGTTAATCAATCACATAAGTTCTTTTATCACTTGACCTATTCTAGAATAATTCCTTATTAAAAACATACTGCTAGTGTTCCTTTGGACATATGAAAACGTGGATGTTTAATCGAAAAGTTGTGCTGGTCTTCTTTTTCCCTCTGCAGAGAATGACTGCTCAAGGAGAGTAATGCTACATTAACTCTAGATGGGACTCCGTTAAAAGAGGAAAGGGGTAGAATAGATGCTTGCCTATGGGTGGCGGGGCGGGGGAATGGTAGCAGGATACCTAAGTATATATTTGGTGGGATGTTGTAATATTAAAGGGCTATGGGAGTCCTGTAACTGCAACTACTGCCAACCTGCAAGGGACGCAGTGCCCCCCAAAGGCCAGAAACTGACTGTTACTTCACTTTGAAATTAAGTACTGATCTGAGCTTTTGGCACCAACATCCAGTTTAGTTTAAACTCATTTAAAAAAATAAAATAAAGTCCGGCCTCGCCTCAAGGCTTGAGTAGAAAGAGTCAATGACATTATTAGATAGTCTGATGAGTCAACTCCGCTACCAGAAGCACTCTTTGGGATTTGAAAGAAAACCACGAGTTTGTATCACAAGCTTTTCTACTGAACGTTTCATTCTGGGGAAAAGGCAATGGGCGCTCAGGGACACTAACTACCGTTCTGGAATTGCTCAGAGCAATGTCTGGGGCAGGAACCCGAGGCGGCACAGCAGCCCGGACACTTAGGGGCAGCAGTATGAGAGTGACGCCTGCGGCCAGCTTTTTGCCTTGCCCCGAGGGACTGAAATTGCAGGTTTTAATTAAGGAGGACCGACTGGGTTGCCGCCAAGCACTGAAAGTGATTTTTTTTGTTGTTGTTTTAAACGAAGGGAGTCTGATCCCTACAAAAACAGATTTCCCCTGTTTTCTCGCTCATTCTCCGACCCTGGCTGCTAGCTCACTGGGGATAGATCCAATGCTCACCACTCTTCCTGTTTGGTTAACTCAAGTGCCCACCCCATGCCTTCTCAAAGAACTGAACCCTCAGCTCTGCTTGGAAAGGGTGCGGAGAAGAGCTCAGTCCCGCTAGCCCAACCGCTGCGCCGTGCCCGCCTCTTCTTCCTCAGCGCCCAGGGCTGCGTCCACTGCCCTAGGCATCCAGTAAAGGGCCACAGAAGAAACGTCTCCTGTGTCATATGAACTGTAATGGGTCTGTCAATTCCCCTAAAAGGACTGATAGCGCGCTCCTTCTTCCCGCCTGCAGTTTAGGGCGGCTCAGAAAGGATGCTTCCCTAGGATCTGGCGCCCCCCTTCCAACATCCACCCCTCCCACTCCTGCTCTCCAGGGTTGCCATCCAAGGTCCCAAACCCTCAGAGTCCTTGCTGGGCTTGGCCGCTTTGTCTCCACACAGATTTATCTTCAGAGCCCACCAACGTGGAAAGGAACAAAGAGCCTCAACCTTCACACTCCAGCCTCCTCCTATTATCAGAGCCCCCACGCGCGGGATCACCACCTTGCTAAAGACCTCTTTGTCTGCCTGGCAAGCGCAGGTCACCAGAGATTGCTCACCCTGCAGCCCAGTCCTAAGACACCAAAGTCCTCCTTTCTGACAACTGTCATGACTGAATTTTCAAACCACCCACTCCTGTGTAAAGGATCTCAGAGGGTTCTTTTATTTAATTTTTTTTCTTTCCCCGAATGAACAGATCCTGAACAGATTTGTTGATGTATAACAACCATTCAGCCCATTCTTTATTTGCTTTTCTTTTTTTCCAGTCTCTCTTGGCTGTACTACTGTTATCCCGGTTTTTATAGAATAGCAATGCCTTCTGTAAGGATAAATGTGCATTTTGCTCTTAAATGCTCATTAGTTAGGGAGGAACAGGAATATTAAATGGGCTGCATGAAGTTTAAAACTATATTCTGGCAGTGCTATACAAAACACACACACACACACACACACACACACACACACACAGGCAAGTTCTCATTCTTCGTTTCAATAGTGTCAGAGAAAATAAAAGCCAGAAGGGAATCTCTGCTAGAGTAGAGTTTCCCACAGTGGACGCCTCCGGACTAGGGAGGATTTCCGAAACAAGACTTTGAACAGAGTTGACAACCAGGTTCACATCCTCAGAAAATCGCTTCCAAGCTATGTCCCCAACACAAAGTTGCACCACCCCCTGGGTTAACTTCAAAGGCACAGAGCCCAGAAGGAGGGAGGAAGGAAGTGTGATATTTAGAGAACTTAATGGGGTGGGGAGATTCTGAACTCAATTAGAGACAAACTAAAGAAATAACAGAAATATTGCCTGTTAAGATGAAGTACCCAGTTTCCTTCTAAAACTCTATCCAGAACGCTTATGCGTTTTACGTGGTGGTGCTGGATTTACTAATTCAAATTAAAATGCACAAATCTGTCCAATGTCAAAAGAAAAAAAAAAGAAAAGGAAAGAAAAGAAAAGAAAAAGAAAAAGAAAGAAAAGACGGATTTCCTCCTTAGTGGGATTTAAACTTCATCTTTTCAGAAAACCAGCTTTCTCTAGTATCTCCCTAGATTTACAGGGCAGAGAAAGAAGGAAGGGCAGCCGTTTGGTGAATAAAGATATCTCCCTTGAGTTTTGCCCACGGATTAAAAGGACAAGGGCACGTTCTTTGTTGACACTTCTGCAGTGACTTCTCTTTTGGCGTGCGAACAACCGAACAACCGGCAAGGATAACAATTGTCACTACGGAACAGGGCAAGTTGAACTCCTACTGGGAACAGCGTAGAGAAGCACACACACACACCTCAACAACAGCCTTTGTTATTTAAATCACGAGAAAAGCCACACACAAGCTCAAATACTCACAGTATCACAACCATCACTTTATGCACATTTCATTTATGGTTTGACTTTGGGTCATATCCTGAAATGAAGCTTTGAATTTACCCAATGAGTTGCGTCTCCTGGTGCTCCTCAGTTCTTGCTATTTCTTTTGTCTTATAAAAGATCAGGAGCAGACTTATAGTGCAGATCGTCCACCTCTTCCTAATGGAGCGCATCTTGGGTGCCCGCTAAAGTCCTGGTTGCCCCAGCTCCCGAACCTTCTCTCGATATAAAGGCTCCGTTTTGGAGAATTAGACCGGTGGGTGGGGGGGGGGGGGTCTGAAAAATGCGAGGAGAGCGTGGAGCCGGGATCCTAGGATCAGGTCGCTAAGGTCCTCTGCGACGGAGCTGCCTCTGGTCCTCCAGCGCTGCCAGGAGCCCTCCCGCGCGGTTAGCGCCAGCCCGGCCTGGGAAGCTCAGCGCCTGCCTCCCTGGGGCTCAGGTTTCTTTTCAGATGTGACACCTTGTGCATTGGAGGTGGCGGCCGCTTCTGCAGCTGGGTTCGGGGGCGTCACTGGCCCTTCCCTCTTGCTAGCAGGGAAATGATGAGCAAAACCAGCCAATCACTGGGCTGAGTGGGCGGAGGCTGCAGTTGCCTCGCGTTGCTGGAGGCTGCTTGGATAGTAATGTCGCGGGCTCTGTCTGCACTGTGCTTGGAGAGGAAGCTCACGGTCGTGTGCGCGCGCGCTCTCGTGCACATACATACACACACACACACACACAGACATACGCGCACTATATCCTAGGACACCAAAGCGTCAGCTTTCTGGACCCGGAAGCTGGTGTGTTGGTATTTACATGGAGAGAGCACCTTTACAGAGAACAGATTAGGAAAGCGTCCCGCCCAGGAATGCTGTGAATAGAGCTGGGCGGCGGGGAGGGGAAATTTGCCAGAGGGATAGCTTCTTCAAGCGTCTTTGCTAAACATACACACTCGCACTGGCAATACACGCCCTTTGAGGTAGTGTGAAACCGAGCAGTAAAGAGGAACAAGGAGGACGGACGCTTATTATTCCATGCACAGCTCGATGTAGAAATCACAAATACAAACGACTCAATTAGCTCACTCAGAATAAGTGGTGGACAAAGACCCTGGTTCAAGATCTTCAAGAAATAAGTGATGACAGAGCTGTCATTAGAAACTTTATAGATATTTATGTGACTCTCCCATTGTCATTTGGAAACTCCTCACGAAGAAGTCAAGGAAACTCCAATACCACTTAAACTTCATTGCGGAGAAACAGGAATCTGAGAAAAAAGTAGCTACCATGGATCTATCTTAAAATCAAGCACACCTACAAACACATTCACAGTCTCAGGAAAGAGGAAAGCTAGGAAGGAAAGAAGGAAGGGCAAGATCCTCTCTGAAGGTCTCATTGGTAATTATTTGATCTCTGGTTTTCACCCTGTTCTCCTTCCTACCATTTTCCTTATTCTATTGTATTGTCAGGCAGATGCAGGTCATTCTTGGTCATTAGAATTTACATGTTTCCCTGACTGGAAATGGTGAGGCCCACCACCACTACTTTACCAGCAAGGGGTAAGAGAGGATGTTCTAAGTTACTCCTTCCCAGGCAGCTTGAAATAACAATAACCATCATCTTATTAAAAATTCCCAGGTCTTAGGGATATAGATCTGTGGTGGAGGTCTTGCTTAGCAAGTGGGGGAGGGCAGTGAGGTGGAAGGAATAAGATGGGGGCAGGGGACTCTTAAAACCTGAGGAAGTTTCAGCCAGTGCTTGCCATTCTCCACCCAGGGTTTAGGAAGTTAAGAATCTCTGAGTTCTACAGCTGCTTCTGTGCAATAGAATGAACTAAGGGGTTGGATCTAAAATGCTCAAAGGAGCAAGTAATTACTAGCCTTTATTGACACTACAAGTAGCCCACAGGGAGCCTTTTGAGTTTATTGATGTCTAGGCAAATCCCGCTTGCATTAATGCATTTCTATTACACTGACTCCTCAGCTAGTAGAAACTGCATGCATAAACCAGGTTCTTATTTAAGTTAAAGGGAACTGGAAAGATGGAGGGGGAATCATGGTTAGGACATTAAATTCTCTGTTAAATTTTGATTTTTAATAAATATATTTTGGATTTTAAATAAAATATAATTCTCTCATTGAGATGAAGCAATATCCCCATTTAATTTTTAAATTCATCCAATATTTCCTAAACAACTACTATGGGTCAGGGAATGTATGAGTTCATGGGAACACAGTGATAGAAATAAAGAAAGAAGGAAAGAAGGAAAGAAAGAAAGAAAGAAAGAAAGAAAGAAAGAAAGAAAGAAAGAAAGAATATCCTCTAACCAGACAGACATGAAGTTTACTCACTAGGAAGAGTATAGCTTTTAAAATAATTTTCAATATGGTACCATGAACTAGAAAGTGTAATTTGAAATATATACCTGTTATCTGGGAAGCTCCCACATAAAAACAGTGGAGGTTTTCAGCATAAGGAAGGTGAGCTTCCTGATGGAGGAGACACAGACTGAAGATTTCAAAGTTAAGAAGTAACCCAGGAAGAGAGGACAGAACATTACAAGGGGAAGAAGAAATGTATGCATAACTTCAGACAGGAATAAGATACTAGTATCTTAGGGAACTTTGAAGCAGTTCCATACTTTTGAAACATGAAGTAGGAATGGAGAATGGTGAGCCATAAGTTTTCTGTGTGATCTTAATATCCTGTGTTGAGAGCCACAGCCAAGTCGGAATGGCCCCTGGCATTTTTGCCAGAAGTAGTGGTTGAGAGGTGATGCCAGCGAGCCATTAAGATGATGATAATTAAGTTAAGCTGTTTATACTTTTGAGTTCTCACAGAGTTCCGGTTGAGTTCCAGTTGAGCTCTCTTGGGGATTCCTGGGGAGTTCATGTTGGTCTGGTGCAGGCAGTTCAGGTTGGTGTGTGGTGTTCCTGGAAGGGCCGCATGGGTGGCATTTGCAGGAGTTCAGGCAATAAAGGAGTGCCGCAGTCTGGCTGGGCACAATTCAGTAGCCACTTGTCAAAAGAAACAAACTTTATTTTTAGAACACACACACCAAACCACACAGCTCCTCAGGAAAAACCTTCAGAGCCCAACTGCCACCACCGGCTTCCCACAAGCCTCTCCACCTCCCCCACTCCTCCTGCTCTTGAGGCTGATTGGCTGGGTCGCGTGGGCAGAGCCAAAAAAAGTCCCCCAATGAGCAGCTCCATGGTCTGAAAGGGCGGGGAAACAGCCCTATAAGCATCACCGCAGAGGAGCCAATCAGTTGGCAGCTAGAAGTTTGCTGGGGCCACTGTGAGCCAATCATCAGCTGGCAGCTGGAAGTTTGCTGGCAGCTGGAAGTTTGCTGGGGCCCCTTCAGCTGTGGCTCTCAACATCTCCCCCTCTCTGTATAAACAACAAACATGTGGCTTAGGGACCATGCCTGCCTTAGGTTGTCCAATAGTACATATGGTCCTTATCCTTTATAGGATGAGCTGACCTCAAGGCGTCAGCCTCCTGTCTTAGGTTGGTACCATTGCAATTGGATCTTACCCGTCATTGACTACAAGTCCAGTATACAGCCACACCTGTGGATAGGTCTTTGTACCAGCAGGGGGTGAGGTTCTTTGCCTCACCTCTGTTGGCCCCCAAATTTTAGCTGAACGACCATGACAAGCAGAAGGGAGAAAGATACACCAAGCCAATTGACGGCTCATTTTGGAAAAATTGTACCACGGATGACACCATCAGCAAAAATACCCCAACACTACCACAAGTTGCTGCACCAACAGATAGTTCACAATGCATACAAGTGAGTTCACAATGCATACAACTGATATATAGTCCAGGCAAGTTCTGCAAGCAGTTCAGTGATGGCTATTGCAGAAGCTGTAGATTGGTTTTATTTTTGTCTTCACCGGCACTGGGATGAAGATAGGAATTCTGGCAATAATGGCTAAAGAAAAAAATTATGTAACATTCCCGAAGGCACTAAAAGAAAATAATTTTCTTAATAATTTACATTATCTTGAACAGAATTATTAAATATAATGAAAAGGAAAGGTGAAAGTAAACAGATCTGTTAACCTCCTTTTTTGTTCACATATTAAAACAATCCTCAACAGCTGTTTACCCAATTTAAATTAAACCATTTAAATCATGTGAATAAAAAAAAATATATTTGGATCCATTTTTTCATGAGCGCTCATCATATATGATATATGGTCATACGTACATACAAACATACAACATAAAACACAAGTGTGCACACAACACATAACATAATAGTAAAGGCCTTATAACTTTTTACAGGTGAAATCTCCATTGCAATGTTTAAAAACTCTATAGTCAAAAAATAGAACTGATCAGCAAAACATTAACCTAGGTCTGTATGAGCTCAAAAACAAAATAGAACTTCATGATGTGGGAAAGGGTAATAATAAAATAGATATTGAAAAAAGCATCCTGGATCTGTCGCAGATGTAAGAATAGCCAAACTGGAGTTTTGGATATCAGTTGTTATGGATTTGAGCCAAATCATCTTCTTTTTTGGTCTGTAGAAATCGCTTTAGTTAAACTTTCTGGAATCCAAATTGGCTGCTGTTCTCCCTGTGGAAACACACAAACAGACTCCAGACTCCAGACAATTACTGGGTCAGGACCTTTCCATTGTCCTGTGAGAATATCCTTCCAAAGTACCTTGGGCTTATGTAAATTTTTTGGACACATATGCCTTTCCGCAGCACTAAGCCCTGATGAATCCAAATTTAAAAAATTTAGAGTAAAAAGAGTTATTTTAAGTTTATCTTTGGGGAATATATACCCCTTCCCAATTCCCTCTTTTTGCTTTAATAAGTACATTTTAATAGTTTGATGAGCTCTTTCAACTATGCCTTGTCCCTGTGGATTGTATGGGATTCCTGTTATATGATTAATGCCAAATGATGAGCAAAATTGTTTAAAAGAGGTAGAAGTATAACCAGGGGAATTATCTGTTTTTCACTGTTTTGGAACGCCCACAGTGGCAAAATTTTGTAAGCAATGAGCTATAATATCTTTAGTTTTTTCTCCGGCATGAAGGGAGCCATCAAAAATCCAGAAGAAGTATCAACTGTAACATGCAAATATTTTAGTTTTCCAAATTCTGACAAGTGTGTGACGTCCATCTGCCAAATATGGTTAGGTATCAGTCCTCTAGGATTGACTCCAAGATTAACTTGTGGTAAAAAGGTCACACAATTTTGACATTGTTTTATTATTTGTCTAGCTCATTCCTTAGTTATTTTAAAATGCTTTTGTAAAGTATTAGCATTGACATGGAACTTTTTATGAAAATCTGTAGCTTCTTCTAGTGTAGAGAAAATATGTATGTCATGTGTAGTTTTATCTGCTAAATCACTGCCCAAACTAAGGGCTCCAGGCAATCCTGTATGTGCCCTGATATGTCCTATAAAGAACGGATCTTTTCTGTCCCAGATTAGAGTTTGTATAGTGGAAAGCAAAGAGAAAACAGTAGAGGAAGGGGAAATCCTACCAGCATCTTCAAGGGACATTATAGCAT